GACGGAAGAGTTGGAGGTGATGGATTAAGCAGAACTGCAGATGGTCATTAGGGGCCTCCCCCTCCCCCTTTAAAACAAAGGGTGACCCCAAAGAAACAATCCATACGAACAGCAGTGACCCCATCGGCTGCACCAACGAAACGAAACAAACCACCAGATCCTCCTTCCAGAATGTTTTTTTTTCTCTATACAAAGCCACTAGATACCTTCAAGGAGCTCTGGGTAAAATAACCCATAGCTTATATTATTGGTTGGAAAAATATAGCCATTGCTCTAGCCTAGTGTGCAAAATTAGAATGATTTCTTCGGAGAGCTGAAAGGTTCCACCACCAAGCTTGGAAAAAAACACTAGAAAAGTCCTTCCTTTTATTAGCAGCTCCGGGACTTCTTTTATTTACCATCCTCATTTCCTCCATCCAAATCATATTTCAGATTGAGACCTGTGTGGGACAAGGAGGTCTGTATGACACACAAATCTGCTGCCCTTTCGTCTTCCTAGTCTTTGGACCCTCCCGTAACTTCTGAATCTCCAAACGGGGTGTATCCACGTTGTATTCAAAGTACAAGTGCTATCATATATAATCCAGGGGTCTCCAAATTTGGCAACTTCTCCAACGCTGGGGAATTCTGGGACTTGAAGTCCATAGGTCTTCAAGTTGCCAAGTTTGGAGACTTCTGATATAATCCAAGAGATCTATGTCATATAGATTGGAGTAGCTGAAAGTTTCTTCATGGGCCCTTAGGAAGGTAGCATCGGATTAGTGAGACTAGTTCCTGAAAAGGTACGTAGTTCTCAATTTAGGATCACAATGGGGACCAGAATATCTGTTGCTAAGCAAGGTCAGCTGTTAAATGAGTCAGTGCAGTTATTAGGTTATCTTTAGAAATAACTCAAGGCAACAAACATAAATACTACTACTTCCTCCTATTCTCCCCACAACAACCTTGTAAGGCAGGTAGGGTGGAGAGAGAGGAACTGGTTAAAGTCACCCAACTGGCTTTCATACCTAAGGTGGAACTAGAACTCCCACTTTCCTGGTGATTGGCCCAGTTATCCAGCCA